GGCAACTGAATCTTGGGTTTAAGTCAAGCTGTTTTATCAATGCACATAAAGTTTCAGGTAATATTTCAGATTGTGAAAGATGTATCCTTTTAAATCAGCATATGTAATTGGCCTAAATCTGCTTTCCAGAGTTGGGTATTCAAATGAAAAGTACTGCTGGAGTCTGACACTGATGTATTAGCTCATGTTGGTAGCATGCTGGGAAACTACCTGTGTGCTGTAACACTGGAAGGCAGTCCATTAGTGCCTGAATTAATGCACTCAGGGACTCTTAATTCTTCATGGAATCTATTTCCATATTTAATTACGGGAAAGTCATAGAAAAAAGTTACAAAGCACCTTCTTCATCCATTTCGTTGTCAACGGGAGTGGCGATTAGTAATTCTTCTTCAAGTTATATTGCAGTGTTCACTTAAAATAATGCAGCTCCTTGCTGAGTTTGCTCCAATTAAGCCATATTTTATTTGCTAATGACTTACCAAGTTGAAAATGACCTTGAAGTTGGTATTGTCAACACTTCTTGGCATAAAGAGCTAGATGATTTAGAGTTATTAAGAGTGCATCAATTTATTCTTTGGTCTTTGTCAGTATTTTTAAAAAGCTTTTAAATTCCATTACAGATGGGATACTTTACCTGAGTAATGTACAGGTTCGTAAGTTAAGTAACAGTTAATTTATATCATTTTTACTGCAGATTTTAAAAGGGGGTGTGTGTGTATAGATATGTGTGTGTGTGTGTATATATATATATTTATATATATAAGACAACATTTGTATTATTCTTGAGTTTGAAAAAGTGTACTGAACTGGTTCATCTTTAAAATTGAGTATCGCTTTAATCACTACAAATGCAATTTATTACTATCACATTTCTGTTGGCCATAAGTCACTTAAAAATAACATAAATACTGAAATTCAATATCTAAATATATATAAATGTATCTTAGAGATTATACCTTATCGTGGTCTGGCAGAAAAAACATCAATTAAACAGAAAACATGATTTATTTCACCATATATAAAACAATAGGTGCTAGTGTAATTGAACAGAATGAGCTGCTGATTCTTTATGAAACCTTCTTGGTAATTTAAGATGAAGGAAGATGAATAATCAAATTCTATGTGTATCGTTTATACCTGTTTATTACCTCATATTTATGTTTTAATAATAACACGGAACACCTATGCCGTTAGATGTAATTGAAAGTAGGCTAGTTTGAACATTTTAGGCAACCGAAATAATCTTTAGGACAAATGACGGGGATAAGGAACTCTGTTTTATCGTTAAATATACTCCTGTACTTCTCAATTTGTTTATCATATTTCTCGTTTTGGAAACTGCTGTTGCACATCTTTTTAATGCAGATGCACTCTTCATACACAATTACACTGCCAGTTCATGCTTATTTGCTGCTGTGAACTACCATTAGTTCCTATTTCCTCACATTTTTATATTAGATTGCACCTATCCTCGAGAAAAGAAAGACCTCAATAAATTTTCAAAGTGGATGTTACTACTTGAAAAAATATTGATGTAAAATATGATTTTCTAATTTGGTGCCTTTAACCTGCATTAGATTTTACTTGTTCTGATTATTGTTCCATGTGCTGAAAATACTGCTCATGGCTTGCCATTTAAAAAACAAAACCCCCCAAACTACTCTCTTTCCTCAGTTGGATCTTTTAAGAATCCTTTTATTTTGCCTTCGAGAAATGAGTTAATATGCCATAAAAATTGACTTTAATTGTGATGTGCATATACCATAACTGAGAAACCATATGATCTAATTACTGTAACTCTTTTCTTTCTTAACCCTACATTTCTGTTCTCAGTCTCTGCAGTATATCTGTCATGGTTTCTGGGCTAGAGACTGTGAAGTGCCTAGGATACTTTCAATTATTGAAATTTTAGATAACATTAGACTATTACCCAAAGGTCTGATAGACACTAGTCTTAGTAAACAGAAAGCACAGTTTTCAGTTCGAAAAGACATTTAAGCATGTGCATAAATTATAAATATACAAATGATTTTCATCTCCTTAAGCTAAAAAAAGCTTTTAAAAATGCATTTACAGTTTTACAGTAAACAGTAAATCAAGGCCTGAGCATTCTCCTGTAGATGTTAAAATATGGCTAGAAATGCCAATTGTCAGTAGACTTCTGGATGATGTATTCCTATACACGTATAATGTATTGGTTTTCTGCCATATTAATGTTATTTGGAAATATATGTTCATCTGAATTAAGACGTTGGGATAAATGATTTTCCTTCAGACCACACAGTGTGACTGATATTTTAAAAGCAAAGACAACTTTTAATGTTTTGTTCAATTTTGGGGAGTTTTGGTTGTTTTTTGATGCAAAATCCTGACTCCTCAGTTCAATCAGCAGTGATGCTTGAAGTTGCTCAAAATTTTCACATGTTTTTCAGTCATATGAAGCTCACTGCCCTGTAAATAGGGAACATCTGCAAAAAAGGAGCATCTGTTTAGAACAGGCGATAAGGACCATAATGTTTAACTTTTTTTTTGGATTTGCAAGACTGTTTTCTGTACCATAGAATTAATTTGTTTCTGCGATAATGAAAAGTGTACGCTTCCATGAGGTATAAAATATGTAATATGTGTAATAAATTTTTCTAAATACACTGCTGTTGTACTGTGTGAAGTTCATTTAGTTGCCAAGTGTTGCCCTCAGAAAAGAGAAGCAAAAATGTATAGTTTAAATCATCTCATTGCGTAAGAGGACTCTGCGCATTCAGTTCTCAATTGGCCTTTGTATTTTTACAATGTGCTGTGAGTAGTTTTAGCTCCTTCCTTTAGACCCACAAGCTGACTTTTTTTTACAGCTGACTTCCCTCTGGATGGGATTCAATTTGGAGTTCACTTTACCTTTTTAGTTGCCAAGGAAATTAAGTCTGACTGCTGTGAGGCTACTATCAGCTCAACATTTTCACAGATCATAGAGGAGATGGCGGAGATCGGGGCCATCCTGCTCTTGGAGACCCCTGCTAGTGTGGTTTGAACATACAAGACTTTTCCTGCTGTGAGAAGGTTCTTTTCCATCAATAATAGCATGCTATTCATTTATTAGTATAATAATAAGTAGTAGATACTTCCACAAAATTAACAAAAAATTCAATGTCCTTATTATAGAGTTCAAAATAAATTAGATCCCTACAGGATCTAATATTTCACAATTTAATTTAAATAATTTGTTCTGTATATATCTGGACGTTTTCTTTCGGTCATGTATTAAACCTGATGCCTTTCAGAAGCCACTTGATGGTGCTATAACCCTTTCACTCTGAAAATTAACTTTGTGTCTCTGGGAATAACGGTATATTGACCACAGAGAGAAAAGACTTGAGAGAAAACATGTAAAAATCGCTGTGGATTATGTTGGTGGGTTTGAGATTGGTGACCGAAATTTTAGATGTCTAATATTTTCTGAACTGACCGTTTGTTGATCTCTAAATGCAAATTTATGAGCCGTGTTACTTTGGTTCTTGTTATGTGTGTTTGGCATGGTTTTGATTCTTTAGATGAGTAATAATTCAATTGGGACAGTAAGTTTGGGTACGTGAGGTAAGGTATACCTGCTCAATAAGCAGAACTCTACATAAAATCTCAGATATTTTTTGTGGCTATTTCCTTGTATCATCCTAGTAAAAGCAGCTTTTGCTGGGGAACACGCCTATTCCAGTCAGTTCTCTATCAGAGTCTGACTTTCATCTTTCTATCATAAAAAAAAAATATATATTTTGGGGGAGGTTGGGGAGGAAGGGTTTGCAATGAACTTTCTCGATTAAAGTACTCTTCCTATTGGATTTCATATTAACCCTTATAAGCTCTGCTGCAAATTCCGGTAGCTTGCAGTTTGTGTTTTTTGCATGATTTGAACTAATGCAGGGTGACCTTTAGTACTTTAGACTGAACATCAGATATATGCATATGTCTGAATACAAACCTGAAAAGTTAGTAATTAAGAGAAAGCAAACATTTCTACGTACCTTTGTGAACCAGTGTTTTTGTGAGGCAATGTGTTTTATCCAGTTTAGTATGTTTCTTTCAGCCATTTATAACTCATAACTATTGTATAAATGTATTCATGTTTGAAACCAACAATTTAGACCCAAACGCGTGTGGAGGGAAGGAGTATGACATCAATAGTAGAATAAAATGATGCTATGTGAGCATAAAATTTGAAACTTTTTGACATACCTCACATGAAACAGAACTATTGGTTTTGGTCTAGCTTCCATAAAATCTGTAGAATCGAATATGACTGGGCATGTATTTGACAATTAGAAAGATGAATATGAAGATGTGTGCAGACAGTGTAACTGGGCAGATGAGTGGTTGCACAGGATCATAATGCTGAAGGCTGTAACTCGTTGATGTGGCATATGATATCCTAAGTTTTGTTATTTTTGCTATTCTTATGCATTCTACACTGAAATATGCTCTCTGGCATCACAGGCTGCCTATCTGCTGGACTACACTGATATTGACTGAAGTCAATATTCTTGAAGCTCTGTTAGCTGATAACTAAAGTTATTGTTCTCTGTAATTCCCACATTATCCATCACAGTACCATTAGTGAAACAGACTAATGTTAGCAGGGAAATTGGTAGTTTCATGAAGCCATTTATAGAGAACAGTGAAACTGGGCGGAATTGTGTAAATGAGGTGAAAACCTGCTTGGAGGGCATTGGAATGTAATAAAATCAAGCCACTGTGCAGTTTATAGTGTAACTGTAGTGTATATAGCAAGGTATATACGTACAAGATATGCTACAGCATATGAATGCTTATACTTTATATATGTAAATATATTTATAGCATAGAGAAATATTTCTGTCTTGTGTGTGTGTGTATATATATATATATATAAAAGCTATGTACTTTATAAAGAGGGCAAATAGGTGACCAAGAAATTGAAAATACTCTTCAACTTCAGTTCTTTATCTCCCCCTCCCCACCCCCCTTTACATCAGGATGTTACTTATTCTACCGTGAAATATAAAGGAATACGTTTTGGTAATTTGAGTGGAAAACGCTGTGAGTTTAAACCTCCAGAAGGGCCAGGACCTGGGCAATATGACATAACTCAGTAAGTAACATTTTGTTTTACTTTTAGCTGATGATTCCAAAATTGTTGTGTTTGTTCTTTAGAATTGGTTTGTTATATCGTTTGGTTTTATCTAAAATATGTTAATATATTTTGGTTATATTTTATAATAATGTTTTTAACCTTTCTGTCTGCAGTAGGCATTCAGGCTCTTTTGCTGTTACTGAGCTCATATCCTTCATGAAGACTTCCCTTTCACATATGCAGATATTTTCACTATTTTCACTGGAAACTTAATCATTGCAGTTATTAATTTTGCTGTGGTTTCAGAGCAATGAACACAATTTTAAAAGTTTATTTTACTGAAAGCCAATTTACTTTATACTTGATGGCTTATAAAAATGTGATCTACTTTCAGTAACTTGACTGAGCTTTTGACTGTTCATCTAGGCTGGTCTTCTGCTGTACTTGATTGCCTTTTTGCACATTGGAATGGACCATTCCTGTGCTTTGAGGAGGGTGTTCTTGAATACCAGCTAGCTTAGCTTTCCTGAGCTGCTTTGCCCTTCAGAGCCATGTCCTATAGGATGCTGCCAAGCAGATCCCTGAGCACGTCAAAACTAGGAGAGGTGCTCTGCTGGACCTGTTACTGAGGAACATGGAGGAATTTGTGGGGATGTGAAGGTCAAAGTGATAGTGCAGGGGATATAGGCAAGATATAGGGAAAGTATCTTTTTCCTAGCAGCACTTACAGCCTTGTTATAAGGAAGGCATTTCATTCATGTCTGTAAATTTCTGTGGAAGTGCGTATTAAGACACTAACGATTATATATTTCCACTACTGTGGAAGTGCTCATTAAGATACTATAAAAAGGTAAGTATCACCATTACTTCCTCCTCTGTGTCTTATGAGTACAAATGACTAGCTCTTATTTCTCTTAAAAACAAAATGACTTCAGGTTTCAGATTGTGCATCCTAGTTTCATACTTTATGATGAAATAGGAAGTTAGTATGAAAAGTTTAGCAAAGGCAAGATTTTTAAAATCTCTCTCAGTGACTCCATTGGCTGATTTAGGGAGCAATGCAGTCAGTCTGCTGCCATTGAGAGTTGTTTTTGTAGGCATGGAATGCCCTGTGTTCATTACTAAGCCTATGAGGGTGAGTGTAGAGTGCGGTCTTACCAGTTTGAATCTTTGTTCTGCCTGAAATGCCTAAATCACGCATTCTTGGAATGGGCTTTTAAGCCCTGGAGGTACTCGTGACAATTTCGTTCTTTAATACCTACTTAAGCCTACTTCTGAAGAAAAGAGATTCTGTATAACGTTACTTAAGTGTTGATATCCGCATCTGAGCGGAGGTGGGCTTCTACGCATATTTCAGAGGCCCAGGTCTATGGAACTTGGCAATAAAGTTAAAAATAAATATTACTTATGCCTATATATTTAAATAACCTACTGCTTATGACCTTAGTTTTCAGACTACTGCTTTGAGAAACAGTAAGTTCTTTACATGTGGCACAGATAAGCACTTTAATTTGTGTGGCTTGTCTTTAGGTTGATTGGTCTTAATTTGCTGTCCAAGCATCTGTCATGATTTAAGTCCTTTCCAGGCTCTTCCCCAGACTTACTGGAATTCTATTTGAAGTAGTGATAAAAAATACTTGTATATTTAAAGTGATTTCCTTAAAATCTTTTTCCTTAAAACTAGATCATAAAAGAGCTCTTCAGAGAGTTGCTGTTACTAAGAGTTTGCTAAGTTTTTTAAAAGTTTGTGGTATAGAAGAATCTGGGCTAATTTCAGTCTTAAGGGCTGAATTAGAATAAGGACCTCATAACTCACTTGAAAATTTGTTCTACGTGAGTTTCAGTAACGTATCTCAGAAATCCTATGTTCTCTTGTCTTTGCGTGCTTTTTCTTTTTTCCTCTATTGAATAGTTGTTAGTCATTCTGTGATAACAGCTACACGGTTTTGCCATTATTGAAGCAGGGCTTGTGTTGCTTCTTTGGGCTCATAGTGTATTTATAGAATATGGTGAGACCTCTTCTGTTAGTGAGCAATCTAGACTTTTATTAGTTTTTGCAAACAGCAGCTGTTTGTATCAGAAGAACTTTTTCAGGTATTCAGACAGGTATTTAAAGATGAAGACTCATAAATCTTTCCTTTAACTTTCTAAAGGGAAGCGGCACTACGTTATGAAAATGTCAACATCAAAAAAGAAGACAAGAAAAGATATGAGCTCTTCATCCCACGGTATCATGAAGTGATAGAATTACAGGAAGAAAAGAAGGTAATGCCACTTCAGCTTTTTCTTACTACTTAAAAAGTAATTTATACCTGCACTTCGGGTAGGAAGTTCTTAAAGGTAGGATGAAAAAACACTGCAATTTATACTGAAAATGAACAAAAACAGTTAAGGGTGAAAAATTTACTCTTCTGTTTCACTGTAAATCAGGTAAAATAATTTAAGAGTATAAGCTCTTATCTGTGAGGCTGAGTATTTTCATACTTTTTTTTTTGAGAGATGCACCAAAAATGCAATTGAATGATTCATAGTCTTAACTCATCTCCAGAATTAATCAAGTTCCAATAAATATACATTAAAATATATTTTAAAGAAATTACCCATGCTGCTGTTTTGGTTTCCTTTTAAAACATATCTTAAACTGAATAAATTTAACGTTTTGGATGTTTTTGTATTTCGTGGCAGAATTTTGGAGTCTTTAGGAGTGCCTGCAGAGATAAAGCTACAGTACAGACAGTTGCATAAATTCGGTCTTTTTTCCCTCTTAATTAAAATGCTTTATTTTTATGTTTGTTTATATATTTGTATTTTTAGAGATTACTTTTAAAAATCATTGTATCACTAGCTCCAACTGCATGTTTTCCTTTGACTGAGTTTTCCATGTCTCTTGCAAAATGTGTTCCTGGGGTAAATCCTGTTTATGAGGAAACCCTCTTCTGTTCTTTTCAATTGTTTTGCTTTCACTCTGTCGCTATAAGGAATTGTAAGGTAAAGGAGACAGAAACCAGCAGTTTGAAGGGGTCAGTGACAGAAGAACAAACAGCATCACATTACAAAAATCTGAGCAGTAGAGGCAACTGGTTCGATTTTCATTGTACAATGAATAATCATTAACCAGGTCAAAGGACAGGAACATCTACAGCTTTGAAAGCAAAAGGCAAATAATTTTTTGGACGTGAAAAGTTTTGTGCAGGTTCAAAGAATAAACTGATGTATAACTATGCTATGGAGCTTCTGAAAAATGAAATTTTGAAAGTCTTTATACATAGACACAAAGCTGAGAGGAAAATAAATTTATTTCCAATACAAGACCTTTCAACTTAAGCTTGTTATAATGAAGGCTGTTCTAGCGTTCCGCAGAGCTCCTGCGCCTACTTGTGTTAGCGTAGCATAAACTTGCGAAAGCTGTCTCATGAGGTCTCTTGACATAAAGGGATTGTATTGCAAAGATTTACTGTGAACCACCATTTTTTACTTGGAATCCTGTCAGGCTATAATTAATGGGGAAATGAATACCTTATTTCATGTGAAGGGCATGGGTGGGACTGCATTAGTGGGGGGCAGTTGTTCTCTTTAGCATATGATCAGACATGTGCCATGCTAAGAGGTCTTAATGTGGAATTATACCTAGGCAGGAGGGTGTAAAAAAGAGCAGAGATAAGAGGACCTAGTAGTGCTTTTATTGAGGAAAAAACAATACAGGAGAGAGAGATGCAGGAAGGTGGAAGGAACGGGTGACTGTAGGCAGGAAGTGGTAGAAAAGAAAAAGATGACTAGATTTGTGCATGTAGGTAGAGGGAGAGAATGTATTTGTTCTATCTGGATTTAAGATTAAAAAAAAAAAGCAAAGGAATGTTGCTGCATGTTTTCAGATTACAGGAAATATCTCATGGCAGTATTCTCCTCAAGTTTGTTAAGTGTCAACGTATTAAATCTTAGTAGAAAAATAAAATTATCAGATAAAAGCTCTGTGAAAGAAGAATTGAGATTGAAAGTACATCCTAGTAATTTACGCAGAGGAATAGCGTGTTTTAATTAACCTAAGGAAATACTAGTACTTCAGGGTATGAAACAAAAAAACATCTTTTGTCCTTAACTAGGATGCTACTGTTAAAGGGTGTGTGTGGGCATGTAGCCATATGAACAATGAACTTGATCTCAGCCCTTTGCTTTGGGATTTAATTCAGTAACTGTAAGCATTAATCATGCAACCAAACTTAACCGTGAGTTTTGGGACTGGATTTGCTGGTGTCCAGGAAAGAATAAATGCTAATTTATGCTTTTCCTATAAGACTTGAGGTGACAGTGCAGCCTTTTTATTAGAACAGCAACAGAGCAGTAACTTGATCTCTCTACAGTACTTCTCTCCCCACCCCTCTCTCCACAAAGCTTGTAAGAATGTCATATCAATGAGACTGCAGGCTCTCTGTCAAATCTGGTTAAGAGTGATGAACAGGTTCAGAACAGGTTCAAAATTATTACAGAAGGATAGCTACATGCAAGAGATAGCATATCCTGGTGATCGGGCTGCAAACTGGAATATATTTAATCATCGATGCACGTTTTAGGATCACAAATACTGAAACATTCAGCTATAACGGATTATGCTTATTACTGTGTCCCTTCTGGGAAAGACAGGGGTTTTCTTTCTGAACCTACCGTGAATTTTCAAGTCTCAGAATTTTTAGATTTCTACTGAGTTGAACTTTAATCTGAACTTTCATAAGTTAGAATGCTGAGTTTTGGCGTAATACATATATAATGCATTTTACTTGGATTTTTGTACAGTATTCCCTCCCACCCCTTTTTTTGGTATGAAAATACATGTAAATAGTTTCATGATAAGAAATAAAAGGAGACTTCCTAACTGAGCAAAGCTTGCAGGATTGGTTCCTTTTTTTTTTTTTTAAAGCGTATAATTACTGCTAATGCTAAGGTTGTATGGTAATCTCTTCCCATCATGACTCTGCCTCCCAGCCTAGCTTTTTAGGGGGTAGCGGAGCTTTTATAAGAAACTACATCTTTTCACATCTCTTAAATACAAAATAAAATGGACTGTTGAAGAAAAGTAATCAAGAGATAAAATTGTACCAGTCTTGCTGGAAGTGCAGGAAAAAAATCCTCTGAAAGTATTGAGAGACTTTTATGCTTCATTTAGCTTATATTTAAAGTGAAAAGTTAATAAAAACAAGCAAAGAAACAAAAACTATGGAAATCTTGACAATTTCTTCTGTCTACTCATTTTCTTGCCTTGTCTGGCTGTCTGTAGTCACAGTAACGTCCTGCAAAGAAAGTCAAACTGTATTTCAAGGGAGTAGACAGCAGGCTTTAATACAGCCCTTTACCAATACAAAATAATTATTGGGAAAAAGTTGGATAGGTGACTAATTCTGGCATTTTGTGAGACGTAATTGAAAATAATCTTTATGCAGTGCATAGGATATGTACATACTTTATTGTAGACATTTAAATTGATATGTAAACTTTGCTGATCCTAACACATTTGTAGCAAAATTTTTGTGTTGCTAAATGCATACTTAAAAATAATGTAAAGTACTATGATCTTGGAATTTATAAATTAAGTAATTTATGAATCCAAAAGCATCTGTAGGTTGTTCTTAAACTGGGAAGCAGGAAAGGATGTGAGAAATTCCATCTTGCCTTTGTTTCTTCTTTTCAAATTTCTTCAACTCTGTCCCTGCAGTCAGTTCTTTTCTTTGTTGCAAACATGCTTTGTTACTATGAGCTAATAAATATAGAGACCAGAGGGAGTCGAGCAAAGCCAGGGTACAGGGAGAATGTAGATAAACTAGTCGATCTGAGGAAGGGAGTTGAATCTGGAGGAGCTCGGAACTAGTGTGTGCTGGAACTGGTGTGCAAAGATGTTTTTTGGAGGAACTTGGCGATACAAAATTTTACATTTGGGGAGGGCTACGTTGGGATACAGGTTTTGAGGACAAGAGCAGGTATATGCACTTTGAAGAGCAAGGGTAGGGTGGGGGTGCATACCATTTCAGAGAAGAAGAGAAGTTGATCTAGAAATGTGAAGCATTGCTCTGGATACTTTTTAAACCTTACTGCATCCCCATTTGGTGATGAAAAGTCCATAAAACTTTCTTCAGTTACATTAGAATTATTAAGATACTCTATCTTAAGTTTCCTTAAAGTTAGTCCGGCTTCCTTTGGGCAAGTGCAAAACAAGATTTTTCTGAGTTATTTCAGACAAAGAAGAGTAGACCCAGATTTCACTTGGTAGCACTACTAGTACAATATTAACAAAAATGATCACAGCTTGGAGAAGTGTTGTCAGTTTCTCATTTCTTCATTAATACTGATGACTTCTAGATAGCCTTGCTTTAATGAATACCTTTGAGAATGTCAAGGAGCAAGAGTTTCTGAGCTGAATGTTGGAATCAACAGATGTTGGAGTGTTGTGAAAAAGGCAAGTGCTGTATTAGCATACGTACACAGAAGTATGGCCTGAAAAGCATCCTTAAGGTCTGCTCTGTGTAGCAGCGCTATCTGGAGCACGGTGTCGCATTTAGAACATTCATTTAAATTCCAAAAAGATGCAGACAAATTAGAGGTGGTTCAGAGAAAATTAATAAGACTGATGAAAGATTTAGAGAACATGCCTAAATGGAAGAGATTGATGAGTTTTATCACTTCTTTTAAAGAGCAAAGATGGAGTCACTGTAGTAGTCTTCAGGTGGTTGAAGAGAGGGAAGGAGTAATCTGATATCCGTATCCATCTATAATCAGAATCACAAGAAAGAGCAAAGCTCTTTCATTTCCCATGTCTTCGTTGTGCTCATGCATATGTGTGTATCGAGCTTGCAACATATGTGTAGTCCTATCAATTTCAGGATATCCTGAAGTTAGAAATATGTTCTTATACCATACTAAATAAAAAAGCCCTGTTGTCCCTGTGTTGGAGACGGGCCTTTTGCCAGTCTGGTAAATATCAGTTTTGTTTCCCCAAAACAAAATGACTGAAAAACAGTAGCTTGTGGATGTTCTGTGTTACTACTTGTGCAATAAGTTAATGGTTCGCTACCTTCCTCTGGCTCTGCGAAGATGGATGTTTTTGAGAAAGGCAGGTAGGAATGGCAGCACAACTCCTTTGTGTGACCTGAGGATAGAATGCAAGGGAAAGAAGCAAGATTTGGAAGGAGCGTTTTCTCTTCCCCCACCGTGCTTTTCAATACCGTTAGAAGTTGATCACTAGCTGCATCCTTTCAACCGTTGCTTGTTTTCAGATGATT